GAAAGAAAGAAAGAAAGAAAGAAAGAAAGAAAGAAAGAAAGAAAGAAAGAAAGAAAGAAAGAAAGAGGGAGGGAGGGAGGAAGGAAGGAAGGGAGGAAGGAAGGAAAGAAGGAAGGAAGGAAATGAAAAAGTAAAAAGTACATGAGAGCTCCAAGGAGGGTCTGTCCTTGCTGCAGGGTTGCTCTTAGCAACCCAAATCCTCATGCTCAAAGGACAATTGAATGGCCACAGCTAAGGGAGAGGTCCCCAGACCTCGTTATAGATGCCCTTTACAATGCTTGCAAACATGGCAGCATTAGCCTTGACTTTGCCCCTTCCGATATGTCCCCAGAGTGGGAGTTCCTATGACAACAGGTGACTTTCCAGAAAGAGCTGAGCATGTCGCTCACTCGGTGAAGCGCTTGCAGAAGTGCTTGCCTAGGTACGCACAAAGCTCTGGATTTGATCTTGAGCACTCGTTAACCCTAAACAGTGATGGTGCATACCTGTAATCCCTACACTTGGAAGGCGGAGCTGGGAGGACCGGAAGTCACAGGCCATCTTTGGCTAAATAGTTACCACTTTTTCTTCAGGGTATCTAAGCACATTGTGCACCCAGCTGGACTGGAGGGGCTTAGCTGGGGTTAGGCAGGGTCTCAGTCGGCATGAGTGTGGGAGAAACAGCCTTCTCTGGAGACAGTGTTCAGCGAAACAGCTCTCTCTATTGATGGGGGGGCAAGGGCTATATAAACCTTGGGGAGCAGGTAGAGGGGTTTTCAGGGTGAATGTACATCATTGGCTGGGGCTGAGGTGCTGGGAATGCTTCATTTGCATGAAAAGGAATTCAGATCTTTGTTTTTTGTTTTTGTTTTTAACATTTTTATTTATTATGTATACACTGTTCTTCCTGTGTGTCAGAAAAGGGCACCAGATCTCAGTATAGATGGTTGTGAGCCACCATTTGGTTGCCGGGAATTGAACTCAGTACCTCTGGAAGAGCCACCAGTGCTCTTAACCTCTGAGCCATCTCTCCAGCCCCCTCCTTATAAGCAGAGGGAAAGTTTAACTTGAACCCTGGCCACCAAGCTACAGGACCACCTCAAGGATGGCAGAGGTGGAGGTTGCAAGGCTGTGTGTGCCAGGGCATCCAGGTCCAGAGCAGGGAGGAAGCAGTCGTACTCCTGATAGTCTCAGGTAGAGATTTTCAGGGCTTGGATGCCTCTCGACCTCACTCTTGCTCTGGACCAGCTCCCCTAGTTACATGGCTTTTCAGCCACACACATAGTAAGTGGCTTGATGTGATGGAGCACACCTTTAATCCTAGGACCAGGGAGACAGACACAGGTTGATCTCTGGGAGTTTAAGGTCAGCTTGGTCTACACCAGAGAGTTCCAGTTCACCCAGTGCTACAAGGTGAGACCTTGTTTCAAAGCAACAACAAAAACCCATGAGGTCTTGTGGCCTACAAGCACTGACCAGAGAAATGCAAGTCAAGTCCCACATTTGCTACACGCCCAGAAGGTCGGAGATGAAAGCACAAAGGGTACCAAGTGTTCTGGACGGGACCTGGCCCTGGCTTCTGAACGAATTGTGTTCACCCTGTGGCCAGCAGGTCAGCCTGATAAAACTGAACCCAGCGATGTGCAGAGCAGCCCCCTAGTTGGAAAAGGATGTAGATGGATGAAATGAAAGGGGAACCTGCCCACAGTGAGAGGAGTGATTCATATGCCGGACTCTGCAAGGCAGTGAGAAGAGGGCCAAATGCACCGTGATTCCATGCACATAAGATCCAAAGCCCAGCAAGAAACAACTGGTGACCTTGTGACCCGTCAGGGAAGGGGTAGCACCGGGGAGTGCTCCCAGACCACAGAGAGGCAGGTACTTGTCTCAGGCCCAGTAGCTCGTGATCCAGGATGGACCCATGGCCTTTTGGGGTGAGTCCAGCAAGGGTGTGGGATGGTGCTGAGCCAGTGAGAGCAGATTCTTCTGGTATTATAGGCTGAAATGGAGAATGGGATGGAGTGTCAAAGGATACACTGACCATGTGCCAGATCCTTCTTTGGGGGCTGGGAGCATGAACCCCTCACAG